AAAAAGTGGGGAGACCCCAAATGCGATCCCACTCTGCACTCGGTGTTTGGTTAAGGGGGACCTTTGGGGACATTTGGGGACTTTGGGGGACACTTGGGGACATTGAGGTGACACTGAAGAGGTTTAGGTGACGCCTTCACCATCCCCGAGCACCTCTAGCACCCCAAAAACCCCGGCACCCCAAAATAAACCGGGGGTGAAACCCCAAAAAGTGGGGAGACCCCAAATGCGATCCCACTCTGCACTCGGTGTTTGGTTAAGGGGGACCTTTGGGGACATTTGGGGACTTTGGGGGACACTTGGGGACATTGAGGTGACACTGAAGAGGTTTAGGTGACGCCTTCACCATCCCCGAGCACCTCTAGCACCCCAAAAACCCCGGCACCCCAAAATAAACCGGGGGTGAAACCCCAAAAAGTGGGGAGACCCCAAATGCGATCCCACTCTGCACTCGGTGTTTGGTTAAGGGGGACCTTTGGGGACATTTGGGGACTTTGGGGGACACTTGGGGACATTGAGGTGACACTGAAGAGGTTTAGGTGACGCCTTCACCATCCCCGAGCACCTCTAGCACCCCAAAAACCCCGGCACCCCAAAATAAACCGGGGGTGAAACCCCCGAAAACCGTCGGGACACGGGGTGGGGACACGGGGACAGAGCCGCGCTCGGTGACAACGCCATGGTTTATTGCCTCGACGACATGTCGCGACATCTCGGCGACATGCCGCGTCACACGCTGGTGGCCTGGGCGTCGTCGCCGGGCTCGTCGCAGCCCCTTGGGGACACGGGGACAGCGCGGGGATGTCCCCAAGTCCTGCGCAGCTCCCGCTCCAGCCCCGAGAGCCGCCGCTCCTGCGGGGACACCTCGGGGTCACCGCGGGGACACCTCGGGGTCACCGCGGGGTCCCCCAGTGTCCCCCCCCGTCCCCATCCCAGTCTCACCAGTTCCCGGCCCTTCTCCTCACTGGTTTTCAGCCGCTCCAGGTCCTTCCTCCGGGTCCCTTCGGCCGCCGTCAGCCTGGGGGGGCGGGGAGGGCGGTGGGACCCCAAATTGGGACCTCAAATTGGGACCCCGAACTGGGACCCCGGGACCCCAAACTGGGACCCCAAACTGGGACCCCGAACTGGGACCTCAAACTGGGATCTCAAATTGGGACCCCGAACTGGGCACCCAGACTGGGACCCCAAACTGGGACCTCAAATTTCGAGTCGTTCTCCCCCATTTTTGGGGCGCCCCCACCCCAATTTCGGGGCTCCCCCAGCCCCACCTGGCCGCCAGCCCAGGCCCCGTTTAAGGTTCCCCCGTTCTGTGACCCCCCCCAGGTGCGCTCAGCCCGTTTCGGGGCGGTCTCCCCCAATTTCGGGGCCCCACCTGGCCGCCAGGTTGGCGGCTCGGGCGTTGCCCTCGTCCAGCTGCCCCCGGAGCCGCTCCAGGCGCTCCCGGTGCTGCTCCTCGGCCCGAGCCGCCCGCGCCTCCGCCCGCTCCAGGCGCTCCCGCAGCTCCGCCAGCTCCTCCCGCAGCGCCTCCAGGAGCCGCCCGTGCTGGGGACACCGGGATGGGGTCACCCGGGGATTGGGGACACCGGGATGGGGTCACCCGGGGATTGGGGACACCGGGATGGGGTCACCCAGGGATTGGGGACACCGGGATGGGGTCACCCGGGGATTGGGGACACCGGGACGGGGCTTGGGAACACCGGGATGGGACTTGGGGACACCGGGATGGGGCTTGGGGACACCGGGATGGGGTCACCGGGGAGGTACCGGGGGCTTGGGGACACTCCCCGCTCCGCCAGCTCCTCCCGCAGCGCCTCCAGGAGCCGCCCGTGCTGGGGACACCGGGATGGGGTCACCCGGGGATTGGGGACACCGGGATGGGGTCACCCGGGGATTGGGGACACCGGGATGGGGTCACCCGGGGATTGGGGACACCGGGATGGGGCTTGGGAACACCGGGATGGGGCTTGGGGACACCGGGATGGGGTCACCGGGGGCTTGGGGACACCGGGATGGGGTCACCGAGAGGGCACCGGGCGGTACCGGGAGCTTGGGGACACCGGGATGAGGCTTGGGGACACCGGGAGGACACCGAGGGGAACCAGGGGGACACCGGGGGACACCGGGGACTGTCCCCACCCCCGGCCCGGGGTTACCTTCTCAAGCGGCCGCAGCGCGTAGAGCTCGCCCGGGGCCGCCGCGTCCTCGGCCAGGCGCTGCCACGGCACCGAGGATTTGCGGGGCAGCGACGCCGACGAGCGGAGCTTCCCCCGGGGCTGCGACACCGGAACAGGCGGGAATGGCACCGGGACACCCGATAGTGACACCGGGACAGGCGTTAGTGTCCCGGGAATGGCACCGGGACAGGCGGGAATGGCACCGGGACAGGCGGGAATGGCACCGGGACACCCGATAGTGACACCGGGACAGGCATTAGTGTCCCGGGAATGGCACCGGGACACCCGGGAATGTCCCGGGAATGGCACCGGGACACCCGGGAATGTCCCGGGAATGGCACCGGACACCCGGGAATGGCACCGGGACACCCGGGAATGGCACCGGGACACCCGGGAATGTCCCGGGAATGGCACCGGACACCCGGGAATGGCACCGGGACACCCGGGAATGTCCCGGGAATGGCACCGGACACCCGGGAATGGCACCGGGACACCCGGGAATGTCCCGGGAATGGCACCGGACACTCGGGAATGTCCCGGGAATGGCACCGGACACCCGGGAATGGCACCGGACACCCGGGAATGGCACCGGGACACCCGGGAATGGCACCGGACACCCGGGAATGGCACCGGGACAGCCGGGAATGGCACCGGGACACGCATTAGTGTCCCGGGAATGGCACCGGACACCCCGTTAGTGTCACCCGACCCCAGGTTAATGTCACCCCGCCCCCGTTAATGCCACCAGAACCCCTCGGGCCACCATTCCCAGCCGTCCCCAGCCCCCGGTGGCCACCGGGACTCACCGGGCCATCCCCGGGCCCCGCTGACCCCGCTCCGTCCCCCGGTGTCCCCTCGGGCGCGTGGCCGGCGGTGGCCGCAGTGGCCGGAGCGCGGCTGGCCTTGCCCTGTGCCGGGACGCTCTGGGTCCGCTGCACGTTCCGGCGGTGCCGGAGCGGAACCGGGGCCGGTACCGGTACCGGGGATGGCTCCGGGGGTGGCTCCGGGGATGGCTCCGGCTCTGTCCCCTCCTCGCGGCCCCGCACGCGCCGGACGCTGGTCAGGGACTGGCTCTTGATGAGGGGGCTGTGCTTGCCCAGGTCCCGCGGGGGGACAAAACCCGGCTTGGGGGGCTCCGAGGGGCTGCGGGGACAGGGACAGGGACAGGGACAGGG